AACATGTGCGGTATGTTTTGTAAATGGGATGCATTTAGTGTCAATGGACTGCCATAATAGATTAACACATAAGCATCATTTTTGATCTAAGAAGACTTATTTGATGTGATGTCGGCGGCCTTTGTGTCAAGTGATCCTCTGGACCCTTGACCTATACACAAACTCGACAGATACCTAGCAATCTGACCGGAAACCAGAACCAGAGGTAACACGAGCAAACAAACAGATCGAGCAGAAAATCCTGCGAGGACAACGACGAATCCGGTGAAAATGTTGGAGTTTGACATCGAAGGTAGTAGAACCTTAGTGGGTTTTGCTCCCCGTCGTCTTCTGAGCAAGCTAGTGCTGACAATGAGAACTGACGCTCGCCAGAAAAAGGAGATCGGAGTTGGATCTGCTGGAAAAAACACCACACTTGGAGGAGCGCACGACCAATGACGTCGATCTTTGTGAGTTTTCTGCAGCGAGATGGAAACGATAAGACGTGTATGGTCATGGAGGTTCTGACCACCAGAGAGAGATGTTTAAATCGTTGCCCAAAAAAAAAAATTAAAAATTTCTAACAACCTAGCTCTGATTCCATGTGAAAAATCAGAGAGAACTATATTTCTTGTATAATGATCAGAAAATAATACATCAATATATAAGAAACAAAGAACTAATTTAAGAAACAATAATATAATCTAAAAATGAATGATCGAACTCCCTATTTTAAAGATTTTGTTCTTAATATATAGAATTATACACTTTAACGATAATAAAGTAAAGCTTAAGTAAACTAAAACTTCCTAAACTAAACTCCAACTTAAATAGAAAACTACTTAAATTCCTAAAATAAATTCCAAATAAATAAGAAAAACAAAATCAAATCATAATCTAACAATATTTCCTACATCACAAGACACCTAAATAAGTATTTTATTTTATTCTATGTAATAAATTCTACTAATATAAGGAATTTGCATAAGTAAGGTTTTGTTTCCCAATTTTGTTGTTGAATAGAATACAAAATCTTTCTTTAATTTACTTGTTTGTGTATATATTATTTCACTAAAATAGTTTATTATTCCATATAATAATTTGTAGTTTTATACAATGAAATTAAATTAAGAACAATATAATGAATATATTATTGGTTTAAATATTAACTAAAATATTTTTATATCGTTATTATTTTAGATATATAAATTATTTAAACTATGTCATATTATATTATTAATACATTATATAAAATAATAATTGAATTAATAATAGATTATAATAAATTTTATTAAGTATAATTTTTTATAAATAAGAATAGGATTGGATTATTTAAAAAATAGTCCAATTCCATCCTGTAAACCCTCCCCAACTTGACCCGGGGCAGTCTTACTCAGTCGACAGGAAGCGCCGAAGCGCTCAGTCGGTTGGAAGGACTCCGATCTCACTCCCTCAGCCTCAGCCTCAGGCACTCGCTATATTTATTTCAAACAGGTACACTTCTAAAGTTAGGGGTTTTCTCTATTTTTACACACAAATCCTAAAACCCTGCACAAAATCCATGCAACGATTTTCTCTTTCTCGCTTTTATTACTTCAATCCATGCTCAGAAATCCAAAACTTAACTTTGCCACTTCACTACTACTGCTAGATCAGCTGATAAGTTCTACCTTCACTTGCAACAACCCTAACAACATTGAGAAAACCCTACCCACCGTCAAGGCGAAATTGGACCCCACTTGTGTGAATGACGTGTTCAAAGGTGTCTTCCCCGTCAATCTCAATAGGTATTCGTTCTTCATAGGTCCCTCATCTAATTAGGTTCGTTTCTTCATATGGGCTGGTCTTCAATCTAGTTATCGTCACAGTTCGTTCATGTATGAAAAGCTTGTAAATTGCTAAAAATTAAGCAGAACTCTAGAATTATTATTGATGTTTTGAAGCTTATAAGAAGAGAGTGTGTTGTCAGCGTGAAGACGATGAAAGTGCTTTTAAATTTATGTAAAAAAGCTAGGCTTGCTAACGAGGCTTTGTGGGTATTGAGGAAACTGCCTGAATTCAATTTAAGAGCTGATACTGTGATGTATAATATGGTTATCAGGTTGTTTTGTGAAAAGGGTGATATGGTTATGGCTGATAACTTGATGAAGAGATGGGTTTATTGATGCATTTACCCCGATATGATCACAATGTGTCAATGATTAAGGTTTTGCAATGTATAGGTTAGAGGATGCTTGTGCGTTGCTAGGCCATGAAGGACATGGTTGTCCTCCAATACAGTTGCATATTCAACTCTTCTTGATGGAATTTTTATTTAGGGAGAATGCAGAAGGCATTGGAATTGTTAGGGGAAATGGAGAAAGAAGGTGGAATTGGAGTCCTAATGTTATCACTTATACATCTGTCATTCAGAGATTTTGCGAAAGGGGTATGGTAATGGAGGGATTGAGGGTTTTGGATAGAATGGAAGCTTATGGTTGTGCTCCTAGTCGTGTCACAATAAATCCTTTGATTATGGGTCTTTGCCTGACGGCAATATAGGGAAGCATATAGTTCATTGATAAAGTTGTTGCAGGGGGTAGTGTTTCATGGAGATTGCTACAGTTCTCTAGTGTTTGCACTGGTTAGGATTAAAAGACTTAATGAAGCTGATAAGCTCTTTAGGAAATGTTAGCTAGTGGTATGAACCTGATGGTTTGGTATGTAGTGTTATGATTAAAGAACTTTGTTTAAAGGGACAAGTAGTGGATGGTTTCTACTTATGAGGAAATTGAGAAGCTTGGATGCTTATCTACAATTGACTCTGACATTCTCTATCCTCTTAGATGGGCTTTGTCAGAAAGCCATTCGTTAGCTTCAAAGCTTGTAAGATTTATGCTGGAAAAAAGAATCGCTGCAAGCTCCATATGTTGATAAAATACTCAAACCTTGAAGAATCTAGAGACAGGGTCTAATTACACATCTCACTAGGATTGGAGGGGGTGTTTGCAAACAAAAAAAATTAGCATTGGGGGGCTCTCTTTGCTGTCTGAGAACAGGGCTGTGATAGTAAAGTCTGAAACTTTTGAATTAAGAACTTACTCAGTTTTAGTTTGTAGAGTTTCATGGACTACTAAGTCACTTCCAGATTAGCATTAAAAATGTGTAACTTGGAGCAGAAGTGAAATAGTGTTGCCATTCCAATCTGAATATAAATTGGCCTAAACTCATGATCCAGGTCTAAATGAGATTCCTACCTGCATGTCTTTCAGTTTGAGCTTGCTTTGAGTTAACTCTTTCTTTTTCCCCTCAACTTACCTATTCTTAAGACTGCTCAGGCAAATCAGTTAATGATTTTTTGTTTTGAAATTATTCGCTACTGCTACCTTTCAAATTATATTTTGATCTTTTACTACTTGTTTATTCTGGGGAGTAGACAAAAAAATTGTAGAGCTCTGTTTGTCAATTAAAATTTCTGTAAATCTGACTCAGGGACATATCCTGAATAACCTCTACCAAGTTGGAAGAATATGTGAGAAACCTCACCACCCACCTCTCGTTGTTTTTTTTTTAAGTTGATTATTTGTAAATCTTTACACAGATCTTGGGGAGGCTAAATTTAAAAGTTACTGTTCTTATTTAGTACATTATACTGTATTCTTTTCTCTTATTGGCACTTCTTCGTAGGTAGACTTCTGAATATGTCCCAATAGCTGGCCGAGATTCTTTGAGAATGTGTCAGATGAAGGCAATTGTTGGTAAAATCTTCCATTGAGTTCATCTTGTATGTGTCAAATTAGATGGATCGACGATGAACACATTGACTGTTGACAACAGTAGCAACGTCGAACTTGGTTCAAATTTTTACTTTTGAGTTGCTCAAGCGATTTATTTATCACCCAGTATTTTCAAGTTGAATTTTGTCTTGTAAATACAGTTCAAGTTCAAATTTTTACTTTTGCTCGGCCACTATTCGAGCATTTACCTTGACTTGGGAGTTTTTCACCAGAGTCTACTACAACCTAGACCGGAGGGCAACCTGTTTTGCTGTTTGGGTCACGGGTGTCCAACCGGTTGGATCGATGATGTCAGCGATAATTTTATTTTTTTAAAAGTGCTATTATCCTTTAAATTTTAATATGTTACAAAAATTCCCCTAAAGAGTTTAAATAGTCCCTAAATTTTTTATTTATTTTAAATACCCAAAAAATACCAATTAATCTTTAAACTTTTGATATATTTCAAAACCCCCTTATAAAATCACAGTTAACCTTATAATTTTGAAATATTACAAAAACCTCCTTAAGACCTGAACCGATTGAAAAAGCTTCGGGTCTCTGTCGGATTGGTCCGGTCCGTTTTTAAACAGAGCTACAATCTCAATTCTCCCTCCTCCTTTCGATTCTAAGCCCACTTTTTTGGCAAATTCTTCACTTATAAATTATGATTGCGCTTAGAGTTAACCAAAACATTGTTTTTAGTCCCCCAATTGACCCCTTACACCCATGGTTACTGATATCTTGCACTAGAGATAACATGCGAAGAGATCTCGTACCTCATTGGAACTTCCAAAATTGCTCCGTATAACACTTTCTTCATTGCTAGCTTCAATTAGAAATAATTTCTTGCAACGATAGCCAGAAATAACCTTTTTATTACAGCTATAATGACTAAGATCTTATGCTGCTAACATGAAGCAGTCCTCTCCAAACCACCTTGCAGAGAAGGTTCACATTTCAACTAAAAAACTCCAACACCCCGTAGACATGAATGCCTTTCTCCTTACATCATTAACCCCATGAAGACCCTTCTTCTGAAACTCTCCCATCACCCACAAGGACTGAAACTGCTCCGGTGGTGACTCGCCCGCAGCCAGAAGGCAAAGTTTAGAAGCTCCATTCTTGGCCATCTAGATCTCCAAGCCACCCCACAAGGACTTGAAACTGCATTCCGGTGGTGACTCGCCCGGCAGCTCAGAAGGCAAAGTTTAGAAGGCTCCATTCTTGGCCATCTAGAGAGGTGAGTTGTTTTGAGGAGGAAAGAGGAGAGAGAGCTTTTGCCACCTTTGTTTCATTGCTTATTATTGTAAAAGAAATTGTTCACAGAAAGCTCATTACATACAACATTTGATACAAAACAGCATCAACAAAAGTATGTATCAAATGGCATTTCTACAACCGGTTTTATTTGACTGTCAAAGGGCCTACAAAAATTAAATACAGGGAGACTGTGAAAATGAAAATATAATTCTAATGTGTTTGAAGTACTTTTACAGCATATTATGGTAAGGGTTTCATAATGTTGTCGGAAGAAACAACTCCGAGCACAATAAAAAACGAACAAACAAAAATATACCATGTACCTATGGAACTAAAAATTTAATGAAGTAGAAAGAATTGAGCTTATAGTCGAGCAAAAATAATTTTGAGGCTTCTTCTCCTTACATTTGGTGTTCGATTTTGGTCTCCCATGTCATGCACCGGGTTGGTTCTTTTACTGCTAATTGATGGGCGGAAGAAGACAAGAGCCACAAGAATTGACTGACAAACTTAAACCCTCAGATCCAGGGCTATTGCAGTCTGGAGATTTCCTGTTGACATTATTATATGGCGAGGTGCTCAACACCCTGAATGTACAGAAAAAAAGTTTATGCTGAGATAGTTAATTTTGCGACACCATAAAGAGCAAGTTTAGCATATCCATAAACCACATTGTTCTCTTCATTTATTATCATTGTTCTATTAATTAGATACACAAATAAAACAAGAAGAATGAAGCGACAGATGCGGAGATCAGACTGCATGAAGGAAAACAGACTAAGACTTACATGGTTTTTTTTTTTAAGTTTTAATGGCCCGGCTCTATCTGAATTCGAATTAATCAAGTTTACAGTAGGTATTTTTGGTGTGCATATGATGTCTATGGGCACAAGTATACAAGACATCACAAGTCACAACAGGAAAAGGATCCCAGGCACAACAAAGTGGTTTACATGAAATGAAATAGCAGTTGAATGGATTGTTTTCGTATGCATGCATAATACTTGGAACTATTCCATGCCTGAGTGTGAGTGGATTTATATCAGAGTTCCTTTTGTACACCTAAAGGATACCTTATCAACTAAGTGTTTCCCATAAATTTAAATTCACAAAGTGTTTCTTGAACCTCTATTACCCATCTCTAGTTGTAGGTAATAACACAGCCAACTCTCAATAGACAAGAACATCACTATACAAAGTAAAATAAGCATCACCAAGTTAAGAACAATGGTACATACCTTTCTTTGCGCTTCTCCAAAAATCGTGCCAAGGATGCTTTACGAGCCTGAGGCACAGCCACTACAAGGAGAACAATGATTTTGTTACAGTGACATCCAACATTAAACATAGCAAATCACTCTCATCAGACAAAAAAATAATAATAATAACACTTAGAAGAAGCTGAAGTAAAATGCACAATTAATTACCAGTTTGAATGAGAGATGAAGCTGCAGATCCCACTGAGCTAATTGCTTTGGCAGGCTCCGGTTGGTTATTAGAAGCCAGAACTGATATTGGTTTCACCATTGTTATTTCTTTAGTGTAACTAGGTCCTCCACCTGACTCAGAGGCAACATGGGAGGTCATAGAAATAGTGCCTGGAAGGCCTGGGCAGGGTGATGTAATATGGGAATTTTTCCCAATATAACCATCACCTACAGATGGACCCAGGATAGATGTTTGCATCTGTGCAGCAGGAAGTGTCTTATTATTAGTCAGAGAGGACCCGTTTCCAGCCAATAACATGATAGCCTGAGCCTGGACAGAGAAGCAAGTAAGAAAAAGTCCACTTATGTTCCAACAAAGGGGCAGAAAGGAGAAAAAACAGGTAAAAAGCAGATATATATCTATACCTTCTGAGGTGACACATCATCATAGACGCACACAGAACCATTATAGAAGATGGTCAACTGAGCAGGTGCCCCATTAGGTTTGGAAGCATTCCTACACAAGAAATTCAATTTCATTTTAGCCATCTCTTGGTTTCATCCAAAAACTCTATCATAACGTTCAGTAAAATTGCCTTCATAAGAAATAAAGATACCTAAGATTAGTGGTACCAATGATGGAACTTGTGGGGGGAAGAACAGAAACAGGGGATACAATTGAAACTCCTCCAAGAGGTTTCGGGTTAACGGTATTACCAGCCACACTCTGTCCAGTGGAGTTAAGGTGGGAGTGAAGAACTGGAGTGGTCATAGAAACAGCAATTGTTTGGTTGGGTATGCTGGAGATTGGGAACATCCTCATTTCCTGAGGCCTTTGAACCTGGTTTGCATCAAACATCACATAGTGGTTTCCCCCTTGCTTATCAAGAATTGTATTTTTCTACAGATAGATAATCCAAAAGGAGAGGGAAAAAATTCAGTTTACACAAAATCAACCTTCAAAAGCTTATATATCAACATAGAACAAAGTTCAAACTTAACTTGACAATGATGATGAACTACTCCACTAAGATAAGAAGTGGCAAAGTTGAATAATCAATGTCCAAAATACAGGTAATATATACGTATTCAAGTATCAATCAATGCTGAATTTCAACACCATGAACTAAAAATTGCAGAGAAAACAAACCTGGACTGTGCCAGAATAAGGTTTCTGGTTGCAATCAAAAGCGTCAGCAGTAGATACAGACATAAATCCAGATGAGACTAGAGAATCATGAGCCATTTTTCTTGACCTGTCTTCTTGAGGAGCCTTGAAAGACAGAAACTGAGGAACGGCAGAAACCTTGTTTGAGAAAGACAAATGCATCCCTGAACTCTTCACTGATGCTACTACAGTAACAAGATGCTCATTTAGTACAGTCCATAATCAAAGTCCCCTAAACTTGAGATCTAATGTCAATATGAAACAAACAAAACCAAAAATAAAAAATAAAAAAAAATTACCAACATCCATCCAAATTGCTTTTATAATTTAAACTAAACGCTAAACAGTAATTAACAAGCTTTTGGTTTAAGGCCACAGCGAATAGAATCCTCATGTACAAATATTGAGTAGCATTCTCAAAACATATATTCATATATATTTAAGGCATCCAATGTAATTTGTCTAGTCTACAAGCAAACTTTTGAATGGTTTATATTTTTATAAATAATTTCGTCTACAAGATCAAGGTAAAGAGTTGACCCAACGGCCCAGGTTTATATTACCCTTATATAAATGCCCTTTAGAGCACAATCAATGACTTCACCAAAATGAATGGCTATAACATTTGAGCTGCATGGCCCATGATGTTGAGCTGCCAATTCTATAAAATTTCCTAACTATATTTTACATATATTTCAACCATATTATATAATAAAATGTACGTGCTACCTGTCAATCTAGACAATACTATTCATATTTGATTACTATAATTAAAACTCACCCACATAATACTATTCAATTCCATGTTATAAGATCATTATTTAATTCAATCACATTATAGCATTCAAATTATTTAATAAGTTATGTTGCAACTAGGCTGGCACTACTTCTCTTCAACACATTTATTTAACACATTTTTTTGTCTTTTTTTAATTTCATTTTTTTAATCAAAATGACAACTCAACATGACACATCAAAAATTGACACATGAGTAATTAACAACCCCCTTCGCACGTTACCAAACCAAAAACCTTATCTTGTTCAATAAAATATTTACAACGTTTTCGCAACCGAGGCTTTGACCATTTGACCTTCTGGTGTACCCCGCACTCAAAGCGCACGTTAGAATCCCTCCATATAGTAATTTTTTTTTTAAAAGAATGTGCAAATCGTGAATATTTAACTAACTACTACTAACTTCGACAGTAAAAAAGAAATTCCACAGTAAAAAGATAAAAACAATGCTTTAATTCTACCTCAAGTCTGTTTGTTTGTTTAACCTAAAGTAAATTCAAGACAGTTGAATTGTTCGAACAAAGTATGATTCTCTAGATTTTCGTTCCTTTCCTTTCTGTTATTTTCTGTTTGTTTACAGAGAAAATTAAGGAATATTAAATTTTCTTTCTCAAGTTTAGTTTGTTAAAAAATCACACCAACCGGAGCAGCTTCTACATCAATTTTGATGTTTCCTTAACATATGTTTGTTTACAGAGAAAACGAAGGAAAATTTACATCAACTGGAGAGTACATCCAGAAATTCAGTGAAATATACGAAAACATATAAGCATACCTGACTCCTTAGCGCCGTCACAGGCCTCTTCTTTCACAGTAAGCGGAGAATTCTTAGAGCCCAAACCGAGAAAATCTCTCTCCATCTCAAAACAAAACGACGACGTAACGATTTGATTCAACTAAGAAAAGAAAAATAATTCAGTTTCAGTGGACAGAGAAAGAGAAGAAGAAGACGAAGCTGAAGAGAGAGGAGATATTTAAAATGTGATTTGAGAAATTTGACTTTATTTATCACATGGAAGATGTGGACCGTCGGATTATTAAAGATTCTAAGTGACCGGGTGATCCAGTTTGCGACCGGGATTTGCCGGTGAGGAACCACGTGCGTCACCCAACTTTAAGATTGGTGTTCGTATGTTGAAAGCTTGGGGGCGTTTAGTGACGCTGGAGCCGACACGTGACGGGAATCGTGAAACTTTTATCTTGTTAGTTGTGACTGGTGAGTGAACGTTTCACCAGGAAAATTGTGGGCTCGTGGCTTTATGATTTATTTATTTATTTTTGTTTGTCGTAAGTTCTGCCAGGTGAATTGAGTTTTGGCGCGTGTGTATAAAAATTATTTTTTTACCCCTTATCTATGTCATAATTACCCTAACCCCTCTAGCTTTCATAAATTAAAAGTATTACCCCTTTTTTTTTGGTAACTTTTATCTCTTAGTTTGAAAATTAGGGGAGACATTGTCAATTTTTGAATTTTAAAAAGACAAATTTGACCTTGACTTTAGGTTCAGGGTATTGATATATGATCCAGCATCCAAGCATGGTAACTTAAATTTTGACTTAATTCAAGACTTTAATTCATACACATTGATAAACTGCAATATCTAATGTTTAAAAAAATGTAAAATATTAGAGCAGTTGACAGTTCAAATGTCAAACCATTATAAGTTTAGTGTTTGATTTTATGGATCGAAATCAAATAATTAAGTTAATGTATTTTCAATATTAACATAAAGATTGATAAGAACCTTTCTTGGTGTCAAAAATGTTTAGGTCAAATGTTAAAAGTTATTTGAGAAAGGGGTGATATTGTTAGTTTTTGAAACTAAAGAGGTGAGTTAGAAAAAAATTTCCGTCGTTTCATTACAAAATTAATCTAATTCACTTTAATTTCTCTATTAATTCACATTCTAATTCTTACAATTTTATTATTTGTATTTTTGGTAAGACAATTGACACATAAAATCATTAGAATATAATATATATATATGAAATTATTTTATTTAAATTATTTTCATAAAAATATATACGTGGTCCTAACTGTTTGGTGGCTCTGATTATAAATTTTCAACTTCCAGCCTTACTAAGTTTGGTAATAATATTACAAGAAGTGGATATTAGAGATCAGATTATAACATTTTAGTCCATTCATTCACTCATGCACTGAGTGTAGATCCTAATTCTATATATATAATATGTACTTTTACATTCGTTTTAATTGTGTGACAATTTTTTTTTTTTTTAATCACGGGATGTCCGGATCAACTTGTACGCACCTCAACTAATCCCTCGAAACGTTAGAACTGTCAATCACTAGTGACGACTCTTATTAAAACAGGGGAGATTCAAATTTAGGAGTTTATGAAACCTCCTTTTGCTCTTTATTGTGTAATAAATTTCCCACCTTCTGGCCCTTGCCCTAGTGAAGTTGTCACATTATACCATCGAAAAGTAAACTTGTTTGATACCATTTGTTACACCACACCGAGTTTAACAAAGTAAACGTTTTTCATTTTAAACCCAATCTTACACGGATTTGCTTTTGGGGTTCACGGAAACATCGCATGAACCCTAAAAACTACTTTCATTAACGTTGTGGGATGTGACACTATCCATATCCAATCATGTGGCCTATTTATAAGTACAAAATATATTTATGCATTTTAATTCTACCAAAAACCTTTTCAACAAAAAAAAAAAAAAAAAACCTATAAAATTAAAGTTAAAATGAATAAAATAATTCCTTGTGATAATTAATTAAATTAAATTTATCTATTAAATCACGTATTCGGCGGAATCTTATAACATGTTGTAAACTAAAATAATATATGTTAAATCAAATATATTAATTTAATAATATTATAATCAGAATTATTAAATAATTAATTTATAGCACATTGTTTTCTTAAATCTCACCACCGCCCATGCGGCCTTTTGGCTCAAGTGACAGCTCCCATTCTTTCACCTGAGAATGGCCCACACCTAAACTAATATGCAACCATCTCACATTTGCCATGCATAATTATATTAAAATAAATAAAATAATATTTTTCTTTTTATATAATTAAATATTTTATAATTGTTTTTATTTTTTATCTTTAATTTGTTTTATTGGTGGCGTGTAATGTGGTCCAAAGTTGACAAGGCACAATTTTCTAAGTGCTTCGGTGACACACACACTCTTTAAAACTTTTAAAAGAAATTTATTCTTTATTTGGAGAATATTGCATGTGGGTTGTAGGATTTAATTAAAAAAAAAAAGCCAAATACTTTGTCCCAATCTTTTTTTTTTTTTAAAATAATATCTATTAGCATTCGTGGATAGTCTAAATTATTAGAGTGAATTAATAATAACGCGGATAGACATATAATCTCAGACTCGATTCCTCATTTGAATATCTACGATTTAAGTGAAAGACAATGACTTTGTGGATTATCGTACTAATCTTGAGTCTCTTGACTGTCAGACACCTTGGTTATAAAAAACAAATTTAATTTCAAGATATTATAAGTTTATAATATTTATCATATATCTATATTTGATTTTAAATAATCATAAATAAGGTTGCTCTTATTATAATGGCAATATTTATTTTTTAATTCATCCAACATTTCTAATGCGAAATTTTTTTTTACTAAAATTTTATCTTTTAATGCGGTCAACACTTTGATAATATTGTATGGATTCTAGAAATACGTATCGATTAATTTTCACATAGAATTATATTATTAAATTGATATTTTAGTTCTTGTACTAATATTTTAAAAACCAAAATATATAAAGTGATTATTAACGTTAATATGGAATCATAAGTCAATACATGTATTTAATTTAATAATAATTAATAATTTTAAATAATTTGGAGTTTAAAAAAAAAAATTAAAAACATTTTATCTTTTTCTTCTAACTTTGATAAATTTGAGTGGGGGAGTCTCTATCATGATCAACTTAAGATAAGGTCAACAAAAAACACGTTCTGCATGATGCATTAAAAAAAGACAAAAACCAACCCGTCTTAAATGCTTTTGATAAAACCATTTGAATGTGAATGGGAGTTAGTGCTTCGGCGGTCCACGTGACTGGTTTTGTTGTGCCCACTTAATACTTTTGTATTTTAATGAATATATATATAATAAAATATAGAGTAAACGACGTAGTCGTACCCAAAGTTTTACGAAATCCTAAGTTGGTACCCAAGTTTCATTTATTCCATATTTTTACCATTAAAGTAACAAAAAATTGTTAGATATAACAGCTCAAGGGTAAATTGGTCATTTCACAAAGGAGACGCACATTAACAGATCGCCGCCCCTAACAAAGCTCCAGTGCATGTTAGCCAATCTCACCGCCAACGTTTTTGCCCTTTTCCAGCGATTCTTCCACTCAAAATCACCATTGTCACCATCATTCGAACCCCCATCCTCCCATCTATAAAACCTTACCCTTGACAACCCCTCATCACTCGTCGATCGCTAGCCATGACAGCCGCCACATGCTATTGGTTTTCATTGGTCTCCACCGGTGAATGGCCACTAAATGGGTGCTAGGACATAGGGGTTTTATAGATTAGGAGATGCTGGTTGCAGTGGTGACGTCGAATTAGATTTTCATCGTAGAAATCGACCGGAATCCAGCGAAGAATGACGAAAACCTAAGCCTGACGGCGCCGGCGATTGGAGGGCCCAATGAATCGGGAACCAGAGGGGTTTTGGACGATGGACGATGGGGAAGTTGATGGAGGTGACCAAGGGTTTCGCCGCCATCGGAAATAGCCCAGATCCGGTGAAAACCGAGACTGTGCGCAGTCACTGAGGGTGTAATTTAAGTAATTTCAAAATAAGATGGTTAATTATAATTTTAGTAATTTAGGGGTTAAAACATAATTTATTAATTTAGGGTTAAGGGCATTATGGTAATTGAACCCTTACTATCCCAAAAAATGTTAACAGTGTTATTTTAAGGGTGAGAATCTGGAATAAATAAAACTTGAGGTACCAACTGGGATTTCGTCAAACCTTGGGTGGAAATATGTCGTTTACTCTAAAATATATATCGAAGTAATAAGAATAAAAATATAATTTTAAAAGTTTTACATATCAAATTATCAATTTTATAATTGTTATCGATGATTTTTTATATTCTGAAAATTTTACAATCAAATATGGGTAATTTTCTTCATTGATTAATCCTAATAAAGGGAGAAGAATTAGAATTGTTAATTACTATATAATATATACTTATTTTTATTAATTTTAGAATTTCAATGGGGTTACTTGACCTAATTGAGCATACTTTGGCTATGCCCCTGATTATGAGTGTATAAATTTTACGATAATTTGTAAATACAACGAAGAATTACAATAAAATTGACAAAAAATTTAGGGTGAAACTATGATATTCAACAAATTAAATAGATCAAAGGGGGATGGAGTATAATTTTGTTAGATTTATGGTTTTTATTAGGAGTGTTTGATTCTGGGTACCCTGTATTTTTTTAAGGAACCGAAACTGACAGTTCCTTGAAATTTGGAACCGGAACCGGAACTGACGGTTCTGGTTCCGGTTCCTAGGTACCCAGAACCGAAACCTGTAACAACGGTTCCAGTTCCGATTCTGGGTACCCTATAAAATTACAATGACCCCCCAAAAGTTTTTAAAATAGCAAAAAAACTCTTAAAAACTTACAAATACCCCCCTGAAACTTGTTAACAAAAATAAAATCACAAATTATAAATTCAAAATTACAAACTCCATTACTTTGTAAAGATAGATTCTCAAAAGTCAAACCAACTTGTTTTAAATGTTATGAAATATAAATATAAATGTATTCACATTACTTTTTCTACAAAAGTTTTTATTAACCCCCTACTCTTTAATTTTATTTTATATTAGTTTCGGTTCCCAGTTTCGGTTTCGGTTTCGGTTTCGGTTTCGGTTTCGGTTCCTAACTATAAGAATCGGAATCGCACAGTAACGGTTCTAAAA